AAGATTTGACAATGGTTTTTGTTCAGAGGGAACTCCAGTTCGCGTTTGGGTGTTTCCAGTAATGGTGTAAGACAAAAAGATCACAGTTATATTGTTTCTCTATCTATATGTATCTATATACCCTTGCACTGAGTACGTCTTAAATAAGCTGTGGCCTATCTCAATATAAATCTACGCATTACTCGCCTGACAGGAGTTAAGTGTTAATTTCTATTCATGCAGCCTGGCACGAGCTTCCCACTACCCCAGGCAGAAAGTTGACGTAGCTCTCCCCGTAAGGCTCCTTTCCTAGTGGTACCAGTGATCTCCTAAACGTTGACTCTGGCGGCAGTGGGGAAGGAAGGAAGGGCTAGTGTCCAGGGCGTCCTCAAGCCCTCACACTGCAGCGGGAGGGAAGGCGCTGCTCCACGCCTGCCGGGAAGCCACGGATAGCTGTCTAAGGTACTGAAATCAAAACCGTGGAACCAACAGGGACAGCCCGATGACCACGAACGGATCCTTAATCTGCTTCTAGCAACCTTCAGGGAAGTAGAATGACTGTGTAAAACTGGAGACAAATTTTAGGATTTAAATTCAGTGATTTTTTAAAAAGAATAGCAACCTACTGGTAGTGCAATGACTTCGTTAGTGTCTCGGCTGGGTTTTTATGATGGATGGTAGTAGCAAAATCCTTGGTTCTGAGATGAAACACTGATTCTGATTTGGGGGTGCACTGTCTATCAAGTGACAATCTGGAGGAGGCGGGGGGGGGGGTGGTTCTGAAACTAGGCGCTATTTCTCCCTGCCAGTTTCACTACTTATTTGCTATGTAATAATTACTTTTTGGTAACTATTGACTACATTCAAATACAACATCAAATCGGGGACTAGCTAGAGTCAGGCTGGGTTGTTGTCGATGACAATAATGGTTTCATTGTTTTCCTCTATTGAATACTTTGTACTTAGCAATAGTAACTATTGTCTTCATTATAAGTACAGAGAAACTGAGGTATAAAGTGGTTATATTAGTTGGCCAAAGATGTGGATCCAGTCTTAAGTTTTTATTTATTCTGATTTTTGTATCACTAGTCTTCTTCTTTTTCATGATTTATTCACAAGGAAATTATGGAAAATTTAAGGGGGAAATCCCGAATATATTAAAACCATCATTTCTTTAATGCTACTCCTTCTCGACCTTTAATGATAAAACTATTTGCACTGAGCACTTTAGAGCTGGCCTGCATGTACATTTTCCACATCTCCTCATTTATGAGGTTATGATGCCCCTGGTCCCCACAGATGTCAGGCCATGAGTGGGGACTCAGGGCTGTACCCCTCTTGCTCTTTTGGATTATATTAAGCATTTCTAGAGATATGATGGCATGAAGTGACATATTATGAAGATGGCAAGAATGATTATTGATGATGATCACAGATATGTGGCCTTTGATCCAAAGGTGCAGGTTTGTATTTGGACTTCAATCTAAGGAGGAGTGAGCTTCTAGTCTGGTATAATTCACCAACTGATGCTATGTCCTGAAATTCCACTGAGATTAGTGGTCTTAAAGTATCACAGTACATCCCTGACTTTTCAGTACACGAAGCTATAATATGGCTTAAGCGATGGGTGGGTGGTGGCTCTGTATTTCTAATTCAAGTGTCTAGATACTCTGGGGATTATTAGGATGCTTTTACCTGCCACTGCATTATTGGAAAGATTATAGCAGGGGCTCCGCCACTGGGTCAGCCTTCCAGAAGGGGGCGGAAATTGATGGGTTCTGTACTGGACTGAGGTTTCTGTGATGGTTAGTTTTTACATGTAGCCCATTCTTGAGCAGATAATTAAACCTCTTCCATGACCAAACTTGAGAATCAGGTACAAGAAGGCATGACATTAGAATTCACCGGTCCCCTTCCCCCATCTGACTGTGTTGCTGAGGTGCAGTGGAATCAGCAAAAAGATGTAGGAGGAAAATCCGGGTGAGCTACACCCAGGATAATGAACACCTAGGTCTTCAAGGGTTGATTGTACTTGCAGCAGAATCGTAACTTCCCCACATAAAGCTGAAGCACTAGTACAGAGAAGTCACATCCCATTTGCCATTAAGGGATCAACATGCAGATTCACTTTTTTTTTTAAAGAGTATCTTTTGCCAAAGATAAAATTCACCCTAGCTATTGCACTACCAATAGGCCAAGTCATGCTACCAATGCCCATGTGTCTCTACGATGCCCCTGGCTCCTGCTACTGGAAATAACTCCAACCATTTCCTCAACTACCATTGCTCACTTCATCTTCAGGGTTGACCTAGCAAGAGCATCGATAATGGATTTAAAAAGAATTATCTACAGCCTGTGATAATTCAGATAAATGACAGTCTGCACACACTTTGGGGCAAGAGGGGTGGCAGTGAATTCTGTAAGTCATTTATGTGAAATGAAGACTAAATCTCTCTGTGTGCACACACCCATGTGCACGTGCACACACCACACACACACACACACACACACACACACAGCACAGAGTTATAGTGGGAGGGAAGGGTAAGTAGGAATCCATAGTTGATGGCTGTAGTCTAAATGATCGGGACTGGCACCCTTAAGTTGAACCATCAGTGGTCTGCACGTTGAGAAGCAGAATTAGTGCCACAAATAAACTGTGTGGCTATTTCATCTGTTTATACATCTGCTTATATATTTGGTGGAACTGTCACTGAAAATAGGAGCACCATTCTTGGAACAAAAGGAAAAGAAAAAAAGAGGTGGGAGTCTTCCAGATAATCAATAGTTAAAAGAACAAGTGGAAAATATAAAAAGCCAAAAGCAGGTGTAGCATCTCCAGTATGCAAAACAACCCATGAAAATTCTCAAGATAAACCTTTAAGAAGACAGATCATTTAAACAACAGCAGTGGCCTGAGGTTTAACTCAGTGGCAGAGCGTTTGCTTAGAATGTGTGAGGCTCTGGGTTGCCTCCCCAGCACTGGGGAGGGGGCGGGAAGGTAGCAATAGCAAGACCCAAAAGAAGAAGGTTAGCAAGAGCCCAGATCTTCCTGAAAGAGTAGCCTTTGCTCTAGAATTGTCTACCTTACAGTCTAGTGATTCCCTCATCCTTAGAAGACCAGGCCCAGTGCTGTAGAAGAAAAATCTACTACCAGGAGCCATGATGCACCCCTGTGATCCCAGGGACTCCAGAGGTTGAGACAGGAAGATCACAAATGCAAAGCCAATCTCAGCAACTTAGCAAGGCCTTGTCTCAAAAAATAAAAAGGGCTGAGATTGTAGCTCAAGGTAGAGTACCCCTGGGTTCAATCCCCAATCCAAAATAAAAATAAAAATAAAAATTTGCACCACAAAGCCTGGCCTTATGAATGGAGATGACTTGTTACAAAGCCCGACCACAAATGATAACCCTCTATGCAGTAACACCCTTTTGTTTGACCCTAAACAGATGAAATATTCCATACAGTATCATTAGTTTCCCACAAGTAGAAGTCAAGGACCTCAGAATGAGGAAAATGATGAATAACATGACACAAATACTGTGTGTGGACAGATTATGGAGAAATGAAAGAAAAAAATTTGGTTCCTGTCACTACACTGCATCTTGATGTTTCTGGAGTCTCTTGGAATTTGTGATGTATTGAAATTGTTTTTGCACCGAGATTTAACATGGCACAATATGCATAGGCTTCTGACAAATCTATTCTTCTTACCTTACCCACAAGATTCCCTAAAGACTCCCTTTGTTCTCACAATATTTCATTTTGAGGTGACTTCAGGTCAGGTAGAAGGGACCATGTGGGCCACTCTCTATCCTTCTCCTCCCAGCTCAGCAGCTCCAAGGTGAGGTGCTTGACCCTTTGCATTTCTAATGTCAGGGGCTGGAAACATGCTGCTCGGTGAATACAGCTCAGCAAATCCCCAGACAATACTTCTGTCCACCAAGATGCCATTGGGTTGCATCTGTTGGTGCATTGTGCAAACACATGCATAATCCTCTGGACCCCCTCCCTCACATAGTACGGGTGTGTAGTCCATCAGAACAGCTTGTTTGGATGTAAGAAGGAAGCCCTGCAAAAGCTGTTATTTTCAGAAGCCTGCTTACCCCTCCAGAATGCCAACAGTTTGGGCTTGGCATCCACTTCAACTCATGCACGGTGTGTATCCAGGGCAAAGCAACGTGCACTGTGTTGGAAGGGACCTGTGTCTTCAGAGGGGCCCAGGATGTGGCCAACACTACCTAACTACCTGGGCTGAATATACCCTGTGTTCATGTTCAAACCCACTCAACTCATTAAGAGAGTGCCTACTGTGTGCAGGGGACAATATCAGGTCCCTTTGTATTTGGGTGAAGTTCAAACAAGAAAGGACTTGGACTGAATGTGGGGTGTGGGAAATTGTGTGTGTGTGTGTGTGTGCGCGCGCGCGCACGTGCAAACACCCAGGCTTATATAGGTATTTATGTTGGATGGAAAAATCTGGCTTTTAATTTGTATTTGTGTGTGTGTGTGTGTGTGTGCAGTTCTCATTATCAACCTTTTTTTCAGTCTAAACTGGGTATGTCTGTTTTGGCAAGTTGTGGGCAGCTCTCTTACTTTTTGTCACCCAAGCTTTCTAGACGGAAGGAGAGAGGCATGCTCTAGGTCCCCACGAGGGACCCATCCCCAAGCCTGCCCCACCCCTCTCCCAGGCCCCTCTTCTGGCCTGGCTTCACGGTGGCTGCTCCGCGCACCTGCCCCTCCCACCCCCACGTGAAGACCTGAGATTGAGCGTGGATTCTGTTCTCCACCAACTCTGCAGCAAGGGCCCCGCCAGAGGCGTCGCTTCCTGTCCTCTCCTCGTCCCGCTCCCAAGTAGAGGCACCTAAACAGAGATTAGATTTCTGGTTTCAAGGCATTTCGAACCAAGCACGAGTGGGCCGAGTCAGCTAGTGAGCTCCGTCTCTTCTTTCCGCTCCCTGGTCTCCGAGTTCCGCGATGGCAAAGCGACCAGGACAGAGTGGATCTGCATCTTAAGACCTATGGGTAACGCTTCCGGAGAGGGGAGTTTTATTTAGCAACTGCTTGAACTCGTGTACGGGGTCGGGAAGGAGGTGGAGCTGACCCCGATCGGGCTGTCGGAGAGCGGGGCGTGCGTGGTGCCCACGGCCACGCTGACGCCCCGGGCCTCCAGGATGGCCGTCAGGAGCTGCTGCTGCTGCTGGCGCAGGGTGTCTGCGATGAGCAGGGGCAGGGAGTTGAAGCTGGCCGTGAGGTGCTCCAGCTTACTCTCCAGGCTGCCGATCTGCTTCTCCAGGTCCTCGCTGCGGTCGTTGAGCTCCGTGATCAAGTCGTACATGACATTCTGCATCTGTGCGGAGAGAGAACCAGAGCGGGGAGATGGGCACGGAGGAACGGCCCTGGGACAAGGGGGACGCCCGCACCTTGCGGCAGGAGTGGCCTGCACCCCAGCCGTCTCTGACGTGGCCAAGGAAGGAGAAACCGGTTCCTTCCAGCCGATGGGAAGGCTGGGGTGGGCACATTTGTTCCCTATTGCAACAGTAATGAGCATTAATTGTGTGTGTGTGTGTGTGTGTGTGTGTGTGTGTGTGTCCCTGTAGTGGGGAGCTGGGGATTGAACCCAGAGGTGCTCTACCACTGAGCTACATCCCCAGCTCTTTTCATTTCCTATTTTGAGACAGGGTCTCACCAACTTGTCCAGGCTGGGCAGCAAACTTGAGATCTTTCTGCCTCAGCTTCCAGATTTCCTGGGATTACAGATGTGTGCCTCTGTGCCCGGCAGCTAATTATAAATTTTTAATAGAAAATACATACGAAGGAAAAGAAATAGCACTTTTCTTCCCCCTTAGACGGAGTGCACCTCTAAACTGTCCCCATATTCTTACAGAGACCCACGCTCTCAGCTTCTGTGGCTGCTGGTATTTAATGACTAAAGAGAAGACGAAGAAGTGGAAACGGCTGTTGTCATAGTTTTACGATTAGCAGGCCAGGGTTCAAGTGCAAGAATGCAGCTCAGGAACACGGCAACCTCTGGCCACTTAACCTCTCTCAACCTTGGTTTCCTTATAAAAGGAGCCACCATCTGAGGGCTGGCCCTTCCCCAGCCAGCCCAGGAGGGGACACAAAGACCCAGTCAGTGTTCCTGTTTGGGGACGTCCCTGAAGGGCCTGTCCACCTGGGTACTGCTCCCCAGTAGCCCTTCTGCACCCAAGACTGTCTCCCAGTGTTCCAAGGACCCCACCAGTTACCAGCGTTCCTTCCCCAGCTATCCCATGGCCCCATGTTAATCTAGTCTACGTGACAGCCATATTTCATCCTGCAAATAACAAATGCTGTCCTGGCTCTGGACATCCGACTTGGGAGCAAGATTCCCAAGAGTCTTCACACTTCCAGGTGTTCAGGAATAAGGTTCCTGTAGCAGCAATGGCAGATGGCCAGGCTGGCAGTGTCACCCCTCCCACAATCCCCCCTCCCCCAGGGGTTCAGGCTCTTTGGGATTCTGGTGACCTGCCAGTGATGCCCGGATCCTATTTCACCTTTTGTGTCTGGTTACTCCAGAAGGAGGTAGAAACGACTGGTGCCCCCAGGGGCACAAGGAGTAGGAAACAAGGGGAGAGAAAAACAGGAGTTAAAGAAGGTGGCATAATATGATGAGCCAGTGGGGAGAGGGGACTGGAAATGCAGTGAACCCTTGCCAGTTGGAGTTTGCCAGGCTGCACAGGGAGGAGCTGCCCTTGGTGGCATGAAGACAGCTTTTCTCTCAGTTAGCGATGCCCCTGCCAGAGCAGGACACTGTATCCCTGACGCCCTCAGAGGAAAGGGCAACTTTAGAAGTGAAAGTACTTCCCCCATTAATTAACATTCACAGAACCTTCTCAGTGTGCATTTTCTTCCCAGAATATACAAACCACTGATGCCTGTGACCGCTGGGGCGCCCTGATGAGCTCTGGACTCACAGTCCAAGCCCCTGGGTTTCAGCCCCAGCCCTGGCACCCCGCCTGACCTTGGGACAGCTGCTTTGTTTCTTAGATCCTGGTTTCCTCATCTACATTCAGAATCGGCACTACCATTTGCAAAACCTTTAGAGTTTACACAGCATTTTTACAGGTATTATCTTATTTGATCACCTGAGCTTCAGATGGTAGGAATTATTTTTACATTTCAATGGAAGAAATTAAAGCAATCGGGTAAAGAGTCCAGGCCCTCCAAGGCTCTGTCTCTGTATAAGGTAGCTATTCAATATAGGAAATAAGATTTGGAGGCCGCGCAGCACATCTTTAATCTCGGGAGGCCTGAAGGGCAGGGCTGTGAAGGTGGTGAGTCGGGGGATGGGGGTGAAGTACAAAGAAAGAAAGGGGAGCCGGCACAGCATCAGATTGCCCTCCCCTGTTCCGTTGCTTGGTGACAGGATGCCAGGGCAAACACCGACCAATGTGAAATATGCTAAGCTGCTGCCAGGACCTTGGGCATCTCCTGGGAGGAAAAGACAAAGACTGGATGGATGTCGATCCACCTCCTCCCCAGGCCTTCTGGGCATTCCCCCACACACACACACATACACACACACACACACACACACACACACTGCAGATTCTCCCCCTAACTCTTTCCTGAGGGCTCTCTTTTCCAGGTAACTTGCTCTCCAGGTTATGAATTCACAAGAGCATCTTTCTAACTCACTGGGGTTTGTGCTTCCCACAGTCTGCTCGTGGGCCCCATCCCTCTGTAGGGTGGCTGTAGGCGGCACTGCAGAAAGGCAGGCTTCGAAGCTGGTTTACCTAATATTCCTGGAGGAGATGAGTCACAGTGTGTCCTTCCAGGTAAGAGGCGAGCTGGGTGACATTGCTGCTCCCAGAAGGAACGTCCTGGGGAATCTCACTGGACTATTCCTGAGGCTCACAGAGTAGGCTGGCCTGACTCCATCCTCCTCCTGACCATGGTTGATGGGTGCAAGGTGAGCACATGACTCAAACTGGCCAATCAGCATCTCTTCTGAGAATTCAGACTTAAGACAAATAGGAGGCTACTTGATCTTTACCTGTGGCTAAGACTATAACACAGACTGTCTGAATTGGTGGCCTGCCGTAGTCTGCCATGGAGGTAGGAGGTGGAATGAAAGAGAGAGACAGAATTGAAAAGAGACCCTTGAATAGATAGAGTCAAGAGATGGTATTGGGCTGAGGTGTAGTTCAGTTGGTAGAATGCTTACCTAGCACGCACAAGGCCCTGGGTTCAATCCCCAGCACACACACACACACACACACACACACACAGATGGCATAAGGAGATGCCCCCCAAGAACTTCCCAGGTATGGTTCTAGTCAGTTCCTCTCTGATCACATGCCTGCTTTGAGGTTCTTATATCCTTAGAGTAAATTCTTCTAGTTTTCAACTTAGTTTCAATGGGTTTGGTTTCTAATATTTGAACTCAAGGTACTTTTTAAAAAAATTTTTTTAGTTGTAGATGGACACAATATCTTTATTTTTATTTGTTTATTTCTATGTGGTTCTGAGGATCAAACCCAGGGCCTCATGCATGCGAGGCAAGCACTCTACCACTGACCTACAATCCCAACCCTAGAACCCAAGAGTATTAACCAACACATCCCCCTGAGGGTGCTGTTCTCTCCTGCACATCACTGTTCTGTTCTCTTCCTCCCCATACCCAGCCTCTCAGGAATCCCCCACTCCACCTGAACCCCCCCGCCCCCAGAGGTCCGCAGCCCTGTCGACTTCTCCCCAGCTGTGCCAAGTCACTTACTCTCTGATTGAAGCCCTCGCAGGCTCAGGAGGTCTTTTCTTTGGCCTGATCCCTCTGTTGAACAAGGTGCCTGCCCGTGGCCCAACAACCAGTCATTTCTGATTGCACCCCCTTTAAAAAAGGTGGTTAATTTGCCCAAGGGAGTCTCTCTTGCTCTCCCAGGGAATGTGTTCCATTATGATAATTGGCATCTGCTGGAATGTTCTGCCAGCCTGGCCCTGGGCGGTACCCTTGGTGTACAATTCCTATCAGAAGGCAGTGGGAGGGGGGTTAGAGGGACCCGTCTACAATGGTGCATGCTCCCAGCTCTGCCCACGTGGGGCCTTGCTTTCTCTACTTTGGTGAAATGCAAGAGGGAGTTTCTTCACAGTATTTACAGCAGTTCAGTGTCTGAAACATGGAATGGCAAGGCCTTAAGGCCTTGAGCTCTCAAAAGAGGGCTCTCTTTTTTAGGGGGAATCTTCATATTCACCGTTGATTGCATCTTGGGAAATAGAGAAATGTACCACCAATTTGGGGCAAGAAAAACTGGACTGTAAAGATTGGAAGATGCAGGGAAATGAGTCCCCGATAATAACAGAACGCTGGAAAGGTCTTAGGTGTGACCCAGGCCATTACACCTATTTGGTTCTCGTTAACATGTCTTGCCCCTGGATGACCTGAACTCTTTCTTAGGAGCCCCTCAACGGCAGCTACTAAAACAACCCACAGAAAAGACTTAGCAGGTCAGCTAATTAGACAAACCTGAGCCTTTTAAGAAACAGACACCAAGCTTTAAAAGTCAAGAAGATGACTGGGTGCCGTGGCGTGGGGCCTGTAATCTCAGTGGCTCAGGGGGCTGAGGCAGGAGATCATGAAGTTCAAAGCCAGCCTCAGCAACTTAGCAAGACCCTATCTCAGAATAATGTATAAAAAGGGCTGGGGATATGGCTTGGTGGGTAAGTGCCCCTGGGTTTAACCCCTGGACCAAAAACAAACAAACAAAACCCCCTACAGGTGGGCTGCAAACGTCCAAAACTTAAATCTTGCTTATTTTGTAACCAAGGAGGAGTATCTGTTGCTTTTCTGTCCTGCGCTGTGGACTTTGGACATCGCCAGGTCTTCCCAGACGCATCTGAGAAGTCTAAATGCCAGCAACTTGGAGCTCCAGGATGTCTCTGGACTCCGCCACTCACCTTGGACAGGTCCACCAGGGTGTTGGCCTGGTCACTCAGCTTCCTCTGCTCCATCTTGACGCTCCTCAGTCTGTGGGGGAGAGTCGGACAGAAAAACGTTTCAAGTTCATGTCAAGGTTTAGCCTCGCTGGTGGATTCCACGGCTCTGTCATCTCATCTGAGTCATTTCATCTGAGCATGGGGACCTTGAGCATGGGGAACTGCCAATAGAATCAAAGGGTTGTCAGGTCCCCAGCACGGAAAACTCCTGTCTCTGTGACCTGAGTCTCCTGGCCATTTTCAGATCATTCCTGTGCTTGTAAGCCCTTGCTGATGCTGCATTTTTCACTCTGAATGCCCTCTTCTCAACAATGCACTGTGTGTGTGTGTGTGTGTGAGAGAGAGAGAGAGAGAGAGAGAGAGAGAGAGAGAGAGAGAGAGAGAGACTCTTGCTCCTTCACCCTCCCCGCAGCCTGCCCACTGCCCAGCAGCAGCAGTAAATGAACAGACGCCTGGTTGGAGCCAGTCCCTACCCTGGTGCTTGTGGAATGGAACAGACGGGGTGTCTCGTGTGCCTCCGAGGTAGGAGAGGATGCCAGCGGAGCTGCAGGTCCCCCCCCCACCTCCTGTCGGAGCATCTGAGGGCGGAGCTGCCCCGGACTCACTGGTGGATGGCTTGGAGGAATTTCCTCTGGTGCTTCCTGACTTTGGCGTGGTCAATCTTCTTGAGCAGCTTGGTGTGTTTATAGATCAGCCACGTTTCCCGAAGGACGTTGGCCGCAGCATTCTTGATCTGAAGCAAAAGAAACAAAACGGGCTGCTATCAGGTTCCTTTTCGCAGGTTCACGTAATGTGTTTTCACGTCGGTCGCCATCGCCGGCCTCCTAAGAAAACAATTCCGCAGCCATCTATTTTCTTAATCAAGATCATGGAACTCTGAGAAAATAAAATGATTAAAATTCGTCTCTTATTAACCCTGAACTGGACACAGTAGGCTGTCGCTTGGAGTTGAGAGGCGTTTCTTTTTTCCTTCTTAATTATTTCAGTACAGCCTCTCAACCGCTGCTGCTGCTGCTGCTGCTATATTTAGACAGCCCCGCCGTGGCGGGACCTTGAGGCCCAGGGACCTCCGAATGGACAAGTATGTGCCATTGCTGACCTGGCGGGCACAGTGCCACATCCGACCTGAGATTTCCATAGAGTGTGTGTGGGGCACATTTCTTGGATTCAGAGAATAAACAGATTTCCTATCGGTTGGAGATTTAGAAAGGCCTCTTTGAGGAAATGTCCCCCCCAACCCACCCACTGGAGCTGGGGGTATCAATAATTCCACTGTTCCCTCTCCTAAGTGGCCCAAACCACTTACACGGCGATTTTACATGTAAATGTCATCGGCAGAAAACGGAAATAATTTCAAAGCAATAGCTAAAGTCAGTGAAGATCTTTAGGTGTGAAGCGGGAGCTGCCTCCCCCCTGGCTGGCTCCTCCGCAGGGCTCTGCAATCACACGTTTCCACATATGACGCTGTCATCCGTTGACATGGAAACCACTGATATCACCCGGCTCACGACTGAACTGAGACATATCAATGGCATCCAGATGGCAAGGGACAAAGTTTTAATCCAAACACAGACATCTTCAGCAATTAGTAACAAGAGCAAGAGGAAACAACCCTTATTAAGCACCAGCTAAACAGATTTTTGATTAACCGTCTCCATTGCTGTCAGCCATGCAAACGGGCACGGGTCCACGGGCCCGGGGCCCTGAAGCAAGTAGGCCAGTCTCAAGAAACCAGGTGAACAGCCAGCCAGGATCTTAATAAAATCGGAGAACACAGTCCCGCTTCTTCAGCCTGACACCAACAGATGGGACGTTGTTAAATGCCGAGACGTGTGGGGAGGCCTCCAAGACATGGTGTTGCAGCCTGATAACTTTTGTGTGTGCATGCTTCAAAATTTATTACTGAGGCTGGGTTCTAATTTTCATTGGCGCTGAAGCGGTGTTTTTAAAAGAACAGCTAAGTCTTCTCAGAAATGTCTGAGTGACATAAATATTGCTTTTTTCCATTCAGTGAAAATCCATGTGGAAATGGTTTTAAATGATTTAATTGCCCACCTCTGGGTGCTTTCTTGCCTGAAAGAGAACAGGTGATGGTGAGCAGAGGCCACGGACAGTGGGCGTCCAGGGAATGAGGGGAGGCAGGGAGAGGGTGGTCTCTGGGGCTCTGTTCAGGCTGGAGTGGACAGTGGACTTCTGGAAGAAGAGGTGGCACCGGAGAGGGGTCTTTCCCCCAGCAGAGCCCACATTACTGCTGTTCTTTTGTGGGGACAGGGGGCATGGTACGATTTGATATGTGATTTCTTAGGTTCCATGGGTTCTTGGCCTCTAAGGAAAGGCTCAAAGGACAAAACCCTGCCACAGGAATATTACTCAGCCATAAAGAAGAATGAAATTATGGCATCTGCCGTAAATGGATGGCACTGGAGACGACCATGCTAGTGAAATAAGCCAATTCCCAAAACCCAAAGGCTGAATGTTCTCTCTAATATGAAGATGCTGACTCACAATAGGAAGGAGGTGGGGAGGTTCACCGGAATAGACAGGGGGATAGGAGGGGAATGGGAATGATAAAGACATAGAATGAATCAGACATCACTTTCCTGTGTTCATATATGAACACATGACCACACCACGTACAGCTCCTCATCATTACAACCCCAAGAATGGGGAGTTGAACTCCAGGTATGTATGATACATCAAGATACCCTCTACTGTCATGTAGAGCTAAAACGAACAAATAAAAAAAATTCTTAAAAAAACAAACACTTGCCATAGCTTTACCAGGAAGCAGACTCCAGAGTCTCAAGTTGCCCCTTTGGAACGCTGACAGAGCCGCGGAATGTCAGAGTTGACAGGCCGGTCTGCTGTGTCAGTGTGGGACATTTGAAATGGGAAAATCTGCAGGTTCCACCAGTTATTGAGCAATTTAGAAGCAAATGCCTAATTATCCATAAGATGAGAAGAAGACGTCCTTACCTTAAGGGCTGCTCAGAGGCCCAAACAAGGCTATGCTGCTGGTGCCAAGGACAACATTAATGTCTGAGTACTTCCTGTGCATAAACTCACTGCTTCCTCACCACCAGCCTGTCTGGCAGGGACTAATATCATCCCCACTTTATAGATAAAGACACTGATGCCACCAGGCACTGTGGTGCACGCCTTAATCCCAACGGCTTGGGAGGCTGAGGCAGGAGGATCACAAATGGGAGGCCAGTTTCAACAACTTAGAAAAGCCCTAAGCTACTTAGAGCCTATCTCACAATTTTTAAAGAAGTATGGGGGCTAGGGGTATAGCTCAGTAGTAAAGCTCCCCTGGGTTCAATCCCCAGTACCAAAAAAAAAAAAAAAAGAAAGAAAAGAAAAGGTCTAAAACCATGTATGATATGACAAATGGAGTCAATGTGGAATCTCTAAAGTGCCAAACTGGTATTAGTTATCATCCCACTCAACCGCCCCACCCCACACAGGAGGAAACTGTTTCAGAGATGGGATGTGAAGCCAGAATCACACAACTAGCTCATGGCCAAGTCAAAACAAGAGCCGGGTCCAAGAGACGCATAAGGTTTTCCTGTGTTCTGAAGGAAGACCTGACTGGGTTGCATCATTACACAAAAGAAATGATTTCCTGTTTCCCAGGATCAAGGAATTGGAAAGGACACTAGTTTGTTTTTTGTTTAATTTAATCATTGTGGCCCTCACTTAGCAACACAGCTGAAGATAGAATCTGGGTCCTGCATTTAACTTCAGCCCAAATGCAAGACATTGCAGCTGAGAAGCAACCACATCATCTTTATGGGTTTGAACGGGAGGCCCCTGCCTATTCAGGAAAGTGATGTTAAATGCAAGCCTTTGTGCTGACTGAAATTAATTGCCAGCAAACAGCCTGGCACAAATCTAAGGAGATCAATATTTGTAAGAGAAAAAGAAATAGGCTTTTAACTGCACTATGCTTTCCCAAGTAGGCAGCAGATGCTGCTGTGACCAGGTCTCCCTCTCTCCAAGTCATCTGACTGATTGCTCAGAGCATCATCTGGGTGGAGAGCAGATAAGGGCGTGTGCCCCTCCTGGGACATGCTGAGCCTCTGAGGGGCTCCATATACCCTTCCCTGATGGCAGCGTGGGTACCCTGGGGGCTCTCATAGTGGACAGGGACTCCAGACCCCAAAGACGCTCCCAGGATGCAGGGAGCCTGGTGGGAGGCACAGGGCTCGAGATGAAGCAGCAAACTGGCTGGGATTGTTTCAGGCTGGCCACGATTGGATGGGTTGGGATGGGTTCAAGGTGAGGACCCTCCGTGCTTGTAAAGTCATCTATGTGGCTTCCAACCCCCAAACACATAGGCTGTATTCTTTGAGCCCATAAATTCTCTACCCCACAAAATCGATGGTTTCATTCTGATGGGGGATGGCTTCATGAGCTACGTACTGTAGGAAGAACTCTCAGATTAGTGGGCCTGGGTGAGAGAATTGTCCAACTAAGGTCTTGCAAATCGACAGTGACAGCTAACATTCACTGAGCATTTCTATTTGCCAGGCTCTGCTATCTGCACTGTTTCATTGACCCCCCCAAAATCTCCACAAGTAGCTGGGCTGATTGGCTCTACCTTGGATCCATTGCTGAACTCTCTGGAACTCACTTTCCGAATTCATTCCCTCAAGGAACACTGAATAAGCAGCCACGGAGGGCCAGGCACTGTTCTAGGTAGTGAGAATACTGCTATGTGTCTATGTCAGGGAGTAGACAGTATACAATTTGTAACATAGTATCAGATAATAAAGGCTTCAGTGGGCCAGCAGCTGGAGTGTTGCAAGTCCTATTGGTCTGAGAAATGGGTTTGTTTTGATGAAATGGGAACGTAATTACAACACTTAGCACCCAGCCTGGCTCCAATGCTCCTCAGTCCATGGCTGCTTTATTATACTCTCCCTCCAATAAATGTCAACTTCTTTCCCTCTGGTCTCCCCGACCCCTAACAAAAGAAATACAACAGAATGCACGTCTGTTTCCTGAGCTCTTGGCCACACTGTTCCAAGTCACGGGATTTCTTGGGCCACCTCTCTGCCAAGGTGACCTGCCACTTGGATCCCAGAGGGGCTGTGGGTTGCAGGAAGAACACATGGAGCAGAGGGACCAGGGGGGTCAAAGGAGCCCCCTTCTTGAGCACCCCATGTCCTTAGCAGCCAGAGAGAGCCCTGGGAGAGTCATTCCAAGAGCCCCACTGGTGGACCCACAGGAAGAAACCACTAGTGTGTCCATCGCGGGGCCAGGAACTTCCCAGGGAAGAACATTCTACAGTCTTGAGGAGTTCCACAGGTTGGACCCAAGCTAACTGAGCAACGGTTACCATGGCTCTGAGAACGCCTGCAGGCGGCCCCGTCTCCACACCCGTGACTGGGGGTGTCCATTACACACAGGACAGGAAAGGGGGGCCTCTCCCTCCTTCCCATCTGCTGAGCCCACTGTTCCCTCATCGTCACCCCCACAGATTTCCTGCTGCTTCCTGAGGCTGCCCTCTCTTTCATACCCTGCTCACACCTCCTCTCCTTCCTCCCCACCTTCCATTCCACACTCTTGCCTTCCCAGGAGGGAGAGGGCTCCACCTCCATGACTGACAGGAACCTGGAGGGAGAGGGAGAGGCAGGGAGGAGATATACTTCTGTGGTTCAAAGTTGGAGTTTGAAGCTCTCCCCATGGCAACCTGGTAATGAACGGTGGGTGATTTCATCACCTGTTAATACTGCTGTGGTGCTCAGCTAGCTGGAGTTAAACTGGCTTTTCTCTCCACCAGGCCGGGGACCCTAACCACCATCTGACTGTCCTGGAAAACCTGTCGGGTTCTGGCTGGAGAGCTGTTGCCTCTGGAGAATAAACTGGATCAGAGATAGGCCCCAGCTTGCTGCACATGGCTTAGGTGTCCCCTCTCCCCTCTCCCTGTCTGGAACTGAGTGTTCTCATCTGGGTTGGACCCGATCATCCCCAAGGATCCTTCCAACTCCACCGCACAGTGTTTTTGCAACTGCTGTCAAAGATATACCGTGCCCCATCTGTCTGGGACAGAACCTTTGTGGGAGATGAAATTTGCAATCCTCTTTTGAGAAGAATTAGCCTCCCTGATAACTGTTTAATTGATGAATGAATTTTAAAGCCATAAAGACTTATTCTGAGAATCTAGGCATAGGCCAACCAGCTGTGGGTTGTCCATCGAGGGTGCTATAGCCAGACTTCCCACATCTGGTATAACAATGAGGAGCATTGTTTAGTCCTAAAAAATACCCCTACTAAGAGCAAATCTTTTAAGTAGCCTGCTGAAAATTTTTTTCTAGCAAGACTATGATAAACATTTGACAGGGACTGTAATTAAAATTTTCTTTATCACCATTAGGCAGATACCAGGGGGCTGTGAAATGTGTTTGAGCGGGTAGTGGTGTGTTCAGAGCTCCAGCACAGCCTGAGATCCACAGGGAAGCAAAGTGCAGGAGAGCTGTGGTAAAGGGGGCTCAACTGGGAGAAGGTGGTGAGCTCTCGTGATAGTACAAGACTGGAAAGATGGTGGATTTAGGGATGGGGCAGAGCCCCAGAGCCCACTGTGCAGGAGCAGCTATGGCAAGGTCGAATCAGATTTGGAAACTGTTCAGTCCTCTGACGGGGCTCGGGGCCCAGAGAAGTCAGAGCTGGCTCCAGGTCTTCAGGTCTGGACCCTGGAGGGATCGCTATGTCATTAGCTGAGCAGGGAGGTAGGTTGGTGGGAGAACTAGGTTTAAGGAAGTCCTAAGTTTGGTTTTACTCACTGATTTTGTGGAGGTGTACGTGGATTAGGTCTCTGGGGCAAGGAACCCTTCAGCAAGGATAAAGACAGGGGATCCTGAACCAGTCCTGCACACCGTGGGGTAGGTCCACCCATTGGTCTGAGTGGAGAGTAGCAGCAGATTCCTGTGTAGGAATCTCCCTCCCATGACACCTGTAGAGCCAAGAGTGTCCATGGCAGCCCACCCTGCCATGTTCCCTGAGGGCAGTCAGTCACCAGAAGTTAAGTACAAGGGCAAGGACTCCCTCTTACCCATCTTGGTGTACCCTGAGACACCAAGAGAGCACACCAGGAAGCAACCTCTGTGATGTGTGTTAATTACATAAAACAAAGATGGCGACATGGAGGAGCCAGAGCCGGAGAACAGATGGGGCTCCAGGACCTCCACAGTCTCTCTGTGTGTCATTTACTTATATATCACCTGGTACCCAGAGGTTAGCGTTAGTTGTGATTATAGAATAGCTGGCGGTGACGCTGCTCAGTCAGTGTGGGAAGAGCTGATCGCATTCAATACAGAAATGACGTTGCCACCAGGCTTGATGAGTTATACAAGGGAAGGAAGAGAAAGGCCAGGGGTGCAGGAAAACCAGAAACGAGTCCTTCCCCTGTGCCCCAAGACCTCCTCGCATCCCCATCAGCCAACCAGTGAAAACGGCGCCACTCTAATGGCAGACATGGGGATGAATTAACAGAAGAGAAATTAGAGCACTGTTATGACTCATCGGTAATCCCTTCTTCTTTTTGCTTAGATGTTTGGAGAATTAAGGTCACATGCACTTTTAAGGGATTGTGCTTTTATCTGTTAAATCTACTAATTGTCCACTCCTAAGAGGTTGGCAATATGTCACTCTCGGCTCCTTCCACCTCGGATCTTTCCCCAAGCACTCGCTGAGGTCTTACACAGGGGCTGGACCTAGCAACTCTTTGACCCCCGGACCACTCCAGCCGAATGCAAAGGCCATTTGGAGAGGACCGAGGGTAGGCCGGGATCCCCAAGGGGAAGCAGGCTGGGCTGGTCTAGTCGGCAGCGTGAAGTGAGCTCAAACCCGAGTAGGCCAGGGACCTCAGACCTCCATTTCAATGAAGGTTATGTGAGAGAACCTTTGGAAGTCCCAGTCCTGCCAGCTTTGAAATTCTCTGTAGGAATCCTCCCTTTTGTGTTGTTTATTTCTCTGGGAAAAGATATTAGCCACTAAAGGGACATTTCAACAGATTCAAGTGTTCTCGGAAAAGTGAAATGTTATTCGATTAAGAAGGTACCTTGCACTCATGGATGAACAATCCGTATTTGAGGATTTGATTTTCAGTCCTACTTTTCAAGAAGCAAGTGGACTTGAAGAGGGTGTTAGAGAATTATTTCTGAAAGATTGAAATTAGCAAGCACAAACTTCATCTCCTTCCACAATTATACTGCAGGAAAAAAAAAATTTGTTTATTTTCCTGGCATATGAGAGAGCTGGTTTTCCTCGGCTTTATTTTCCTCTAGTGTCTGATTTACTGGGTAAAAAATGGAGAGGACAAAGTAATAACACGAAATACAAAGTATATTCTCGGTTTCAAAAAGCAAACTAGAATATACAGAGAGACTGTGGATGCTCCTTGGTAAATAACTCCTGAGAAGGTTTTGGAGGCAAAAAAGCTCTCTGCCCTCCCTCCTGTATGTGGTTTCAATACAGTGAAGCATCAGGCTAATAGAAGCAAGTGTCTTCGCCTTTAGTTGTTCCAATAACGTTAGAAATTTCCTCAGTCCCAAGCACGCCTCTGACAGTGCATCCCAGCGGGGCTGAGGGAGAGGGACTCCATGTGAAACCCAGCATGTCTTACAATGGTGACAGCATCAATGGCTGCCATCTTAATGCATCAAAAGAGGTTTTCTTTTGTACATCTCGTCGCTCAGGGCTGTGATGTACCTCGTGACGACCATTTGTATGTCAACAGTTTAGGGATATTTGCTTGTCCCTGTTCCTTTTAACATCTGCGGTGGCTTTTCAAAGGATCCAATAAATGTAATCAAAGACCAAACAATCGAACGCCATAAATAATTCTGCCGAGAAACTGGAGAGACCTTGGCAACTGCACACCCCCCTGCCTTCTGGAAGAGCCCACTGCTGCTCAGTCATTCTCTCGCTCTCTTTTTATTCTCCCTTCCTGCCTTTGTCTCTATTTCTAACACATTTTTTACTGCTTTGCAACATTAATCACTGAATATTTTCTCTAGCTTTCAAAACCTCCAGTTGATGTATGGGATTGCTCATGGGTCCCTTGCCCTACGGGAGTCCTAACTGAGACAGAGTTACTAGGGCAGCGGAGACCCCAGCGCAGGATTTTGGTTCTCTCTGGTCTCAGGAAGGGGAGAATCTTGCAAGAAATCATCTTCCTGACCTTGGTTCAGGCTGCAGTTCTAAAGAATCTTCCATAAAAGCTGTCATTAAATAAACAGCTCCTGCTAGCTCATTCGGCCTGCTGTTACCCTGCAAGGCTCATTTCTGGCTCTTCTAAATGAGCCTTCCCTTCTCTCACAATTCAGTGGGGTGTCAGATTTTTAGCAGCTAAATGAGCTCCCCATTTCTGCATATTTTCCGTTTTTCATCCTCCTTAACCACTTTATAGGGTACAAGTGAGAAACATTATCTGGAAAACCCAAAAGGGGAAAATTGGATCATGACGTTTTGATGAACGATATTCAGGAATATGGGCTCTACTGGAAAGATCATTCTAAGTGATTCTTTAAAAAACAACAACAAAAAAAGGATTCAATTTAGATATATTTTCAATATAGTTTCAAGATTCTCTACTTCCCTTCCTAATGAGAATCATGAAAATATTTGAGCATAAACAGAAACATCATGCTGGGTGATTTATTTGGCACCATTAGGCCAGGGGCAGGGACATCATTGTATGCTATTGATCTAATTATCAGGAAGATTATTTGGTTGCCTGAGCCATGCACAGTGATTTAACGGAAGACAGGAGCCCGGTGCGTTCAGACAGTGTGTCCCCTGTGTGGAAGTTGTCTGTCTGCGCCTGGGACTCCCTCGACACTCCAAAGTGTGACCCTCATCCATACCACGTGACCATCTTCTTTGGAACTGGCTTCCACTTTGGTTATCGAGATCCCCATGAAGACATGGAGGAGTGACATCTTACCCGTTTGGTGAGCTGAGTGTCCATCATGAAGTTGTGAACGTGTTTCTCTGCTTTGGTGAGTTCCAGCTTTCGAGCCACCACGGCCACCACGAGAGCAGTGCAGCCGGCACCCTGTGGGCGGACATCAAGAGGACCAGGGGTCATTCAAAGGCAAGGTGCAAGACCCTGCCCACTCGAGCTCTCTGGCTGAACAAGACCGGGCCACCCATACCGCCCAAACCTGCGGAGCCTTCATGTCCCCACCAAGAAGGAGTCTGCAGTGCCCCTTGTTTGTTAGCTCTTGGGAGAAGGAGTTTTCAGAGAACTAGCCAGTCCTTAATGCTGTATGGGGCTGAGGCTTTGGGGGAATGAAACCAATGGATAACCAAGAGGTCTCTTGCTAGTTTTGCAGTGCAGCAGGAGACAGAGGGTTCGGCACACACGGACGCTCTTGCCCTCCTGCATGCCCAGTGGGCCCAGAAGGAGAGAAGACCATATGGCACAGCACCATGGCTGAGAGTTTTCCTGAAGATACTCAAATGAAGAGGCCATACAGCTTCCCCAGATTGTCTCCTGGAGGGAACGCGGGTGGGCACTGAATGATCACGTCTGCTCTGCAGCTGAGTCTCTCTACCTGGAGGCAGTGACTCAGCACAAGGCACGGGTTCTTTCTTGCTTTTACCAGGAGGCCCATGAATGCACCATCATGCAGAGGTTTTAAAAATGACAACACGTCTGCCTACAACCAGGGTGTGAGTGACCCTGCAGGAGACCCTTAGGAGTTTCCGGGACAACGGTCCTCATCTGCTCAGATTGGAGGAGAGCATGGAGGAGCACGGGCCGAGGAGCGGGGTTCTGCTAAGCCACAGAATGGCAGGGCTTGCTTCCTCACTCCCGATCCTCTGGGTGATCACTTGACCGGGAGAAAATGAACAGGAAAAAGAAATGGCACATTCCAGCAGGCTCCGGATGGGATTTTAAATGCTCTTCCCTGTGCTTCTGCGTTGGCCTGCAGGCACTGGGGGTGGGGGAGAAGATCGTCACCCCCATCCTCTGGCTGGCAGCGGACGTCGGCCCTGTCCTTGGCAAGACAGCACTGTCCTCAGAGATACCGCCTTCTCCTGCACATTGGCATTGCCCTGATCACTTATGTAAAGAGATGATGAGTTTATCAAAGCCAGAATGTGATCCCCTAGATGCCAAATAGTAATCCCAGTTTCAACAGTAAAACACCGAGCCCAGTTTAGCAGATTGAGGTCCCTGGATTAAAGAAATCCATCAGTGACATTTTGGTTCATCAGGGTCTAATCTAATGAAATGTATGAGACATGAACAAGAATTTTTTTGGTGGTGGTGGGGGTACTGGGGGTTGAACCCAGGGGTGCTCTATCACGGAACTACCTGGTTTGGGGGTTTTTTGTTGTTGTTGTAGTTGACATTCTTTTTTGAGACAGGCTCTCACTAAATTGCCCAGGCTAGCCTTGAACTTGGGATCTTCTTGCCTCAGCCTCCTGAATCACTGGGATTGCTGGTGTGCACCACAAGGTCTGGCTAACACGAAGGTTGTTCAAAGGCACTGCACAGAGCTGGGAGGGCTGCCCATGGGCAGATCAGCTCCTGCTCTCTCCCAGCTCTCCCTTTGCCTCCTTCCATATGGCTGACAGAGGCTGGCTCCTGTGGGGGTCAGCGTGGCTGGAGTTGGTGACTTCTGCTCTCCTGCAAGGGTTTCTAATAAGACAATCGAGTGTTTCTTGGTGCCCTTGGTAGCCCACTTTTGAGCACAGCAAAGTGAAAAGAACTAAGTCTGTGTGAACTTTCCTTTCCTGACCTCGTTTTCCTCCTTTGTTCAGGGACGGCTGAGTTTTCTTGGCATCTGTGACTTGCAGGAGACTGTGCCCAATTTTCAGAGGCTAGGGACAGTTGGGCAGCCTGGTCTGTAGCTGTCATCAATTTAGCCAGGCCTCCAAAAGCAAAAAATAGCTTAAAAGAAGATGTCCTACAGGGAGGATGTGTGTTCCCTCTCCCCTCAACCAGACCCCGTATCATGTCTTGCCTTTATGTGGAGTTCCAAAAGCACTTGGGGCCAAAAGCCCCCAAAGAGGGATATATCATAGTGTTAAAAATGGAACATCCGTTGGAGAGGGTTCTCCCCAGGCTCTGTTCTCCTTCATCTCCCTGCGTCCACACTAAATTTCACTTCAATCATCCCTGAAAGCTGGGGGTACAAGACCCAAAGAAGAGTATCCGTACTTACCATGCCACCTCGGGAATGTCATCAAACAAGCATCCACCATCCACCATCTCAAATTCCCAGGGTCTCTGGGGAGCACTCTGTGGTCCTCGCCATGGTCTACAGACTATGTGGTTGAATACAAGGGGCTCCTAAGAAGCCAAAGTGTCTTACCTAAAGAATTATCTGTCCCAAACTAGAAAGGCGAATTTCTGCATAGAGGCCGATTTATTTCAACCTAAAAGATGCCAAGACTTTCTTGAGGACATTTCTCTGGAGGAGACTGCCTTCTTGACCCCTAATCTCAACTAGAATCGATAGCAATGAAGGCTTGTGACTTTATTTTCCTTTTAGATGAACCAGTGTTTGGATGTAATGAAGGAGGTCACCGATCATGACGGCGAACGTGATCACTTCCACTAAGAGGCAACCTTGTAAGATGGAGTCGGCGGCCAGCCGTCTTCAGGAAGTGAGTGATGGGCAGAGTCACGGGATCCAGGTTAGTGGTCCTCTCTGGGCGAAGGTGGAGGGACAGAAGACCGAGAGAGGGATGAGAAGAGAGGAGAAAGGAAGGGAAGGAGCCGAGGGAAGGGAGGAGGGTGCAAGGAGAGATGGAGACTAAGACTGGAAATAAGTCCTGCCACCTTCTGAACAGCAAAGGTCGGAAGATGGGGGGAGGCAGGAGGAGGAGATAAGAAAAATAGACGGGCTGGTGGGCGTGAGAAAGGACGGAGCGAGGAGCCAAGACTTGAAGCAGAACTGAAGGGCCCGTTTGGACTTTTTAGAGGAAATAAAGACAGTGCCCCAGGACCCACTCCTCCCCCAGTCTAACGTCACCTACCACCTTGGTTCCTTTTAGGATTATGGGCCTTTTGACTTCCATGAGCTTATCCACCTGACAGGGCCCTGCCAGCCACCTGGGAGTGAGACATGGCTGCGAGGCAGCTTGGCTTTACGAGGTGAACAGCCAAGGGCCTGGTTAGTTGTAGCACGTGAGAGCTCCTGCTGCCCTACTGTGCACAGAATGAAGAGTGGGCATGTGCGGAGAGGACGGGGTGGGGCAGGAGGTGAGAAGTTGCTGGCCCGACTTCCATGGGGTCAGATTGGGGGACAAATCCATGACCCAGTCGTCTGCCTTCAGATGTGCCAAGTCTTGGATCACAGGTGGCCTCAACTGGGTTCCCTGAGTCTGTTGGGCCCGACTCCTATTCCCACGGCGAGGGTGGGGAGGGCCCACCACCCAGATAGAACTTTCCACGGTACATGGGTGAGCGGGGGACACAGAGAGAGAGGGGACAGAGGGTGTCTGGCAGGGATAACGTGCCGAAGTCATTGATGGATTCGGACCCAAATCTGGAGCCTGACTCCTCCCTACGAGTCCTCCTGCTTCTTGTTTCCAGGAGACATTCCCAGCTGGAAAATCTTAAAAGCTGGAAAAACAAGCATCCCAAGGGAGAAGTATGCAGCGTTCTCAACGAAAAGAAGCATAAAATAAAATAAAACATAAATGAAAGTGACAAACGGAGGAGGGAAGCCGGGAGGATTTACAGTTGGATTCTGTTGCTGCAACAGATTCCACGTAACAACTAAAATAACATCAACCGGCTTGAAACCAAGGTGTTTCGGCAGAGGCGCATCTAAAGCTGACATTAAGCAGATGTCTCCCTGAGCCCTTTTGGTTCTCCCCCCCAAATGACTCAGTGGGTGCTACCTTCCATTTCATCACGCTCTCCTGTGGAGCTCAGAGACATCTCTCCTGAAGCCCTCGGGGGAAGCTCAGCATCCCCAAGGGCACACTGGGAGCGTGCGTCTATTTGTTCTTAACTCAGGAAGGGTCCACGGAGGGCGTCCGGCTCTAGGAAGTGGCTCTACTGAAACAAAGTAATCACCAAGCAGATTTGGGGGTCCTACGGTCTCCCAAGATGCCTGCAGAACCGAAAGACCGAAGGTGGTTGTCCTTTCCCCTCCTGGCACTGAACATTGACCGACTGCCCTCTCCGGCCTTGTCACTCATCCTGGAGATTCTGTACAGAAAGACGCTGGACTTCAACGTAGCCGCCTTTGTGGGGAACAGTCTCGAACACATCAGGCCTGTGCCAGCAATGTCAAGTTGTCCAGACAATTACATACCCTGCCTAATGGCTGATAATTACACCGTTACTGGGTTTGCCAAGAGAAAACAATGATTAAGACCATTTCCAGCCTGCACACACAAATCCTTCAGTTTCCTTCCCGAGCAGGCCGTGCCTTGGCCTCTGTGGTCTCCATGGCAACCAAACAGGAAGCCCTACCTCTAGTCAAGGCCCTGGCGATAATAATCCGGAGATACACATCCTGTTGGGGGAAGGGGTCCTCAGCAAGGCAAACCCCTCCGAGGAGTGACTCAGCGGGAAAGTCACATTGGATGGGAAAAAGCCACCAGCGAGCCGCTGATTTTAATCTGGGTAAAAAACATTTGACAAGGAGCTGGGCACAGTGACACATGCTCACAGAGCAGCTCCTGGGGAGGTTGAGGCAGGCAGATCACGAGTCTGAGGCCAACCTTAGCATCTTAGTGAAACCCTGACTCAAAATAAAAAAATAAAAGGGCTGGAGGTAGAGCTCAGGGGCAGGGCACCCCTGGGTTCAAGGCCCCTACAAAACCAAAACAGAAAAATCCTGAGGATGAGCAGGAAAAGCTCCCTCGGTCTGCATTCAGTGCACATCCATGCAGCGGGCTTTGTCAAGAAAGAGAGGATGAAGGGCCCGTGTTTTTAATTTGGGAGGTAGGTGGGGGTTCCTCCACCTGTTAGTTCTTTCCACTTTGACCCCACCTCAATCCCCAAGGAACAGACATTTCCTTCCAAGGAATGCAATGGGCCCAGGCAGTGATAGAAGGTTCTGGAAGACAGAGCAGTCCACTGTAGACCACTTGCCAAGGAGAGGCAGACTTAGGCCAAAGGGTCCCGAGTCGTCCTCTGCTCTTTGTCAGAACAGAAGACAGGAGCCAGGGACACGGCCTGGGTCAGTTCCATGCTGAGAGCGAGAATGGCTGGTATTTAAGAATCATAGAGGCTCCCCGCAGGGCCCATCCACCTATTAGCAGCCTGGCCCTGAGCGGCCCTTCCAGAGAGCAGGTCTGAGGCACAAAGCCCACGCCCCAGGAGCAGCGCTCAGAAGGAGAGCTTTGGCCTTCAGGTGGCATTTCATTCCTTTCTGGTAGGAAGAAGCTTTCCTGGTTTCCTGGTGACCGCTGGCGCTGCGCCAGGCGTGGAGGTGTTTGTTCTGAAGCCTTCCACTTACCCAGGATTTACCCCAGCCCCGGGGGCTAAGCCGCTGTCATTGATGGTTTCTTCAGGGCCGCCTGCTAATGTGGGCCTGCCCTGGATTAGAATCGGGAAAGAGGAGAAAGCTGTGCCCGTGGCCAGGGCCTCCTCTGCCCCCAGTGACCTGAGCCTGGCTGCCCGTCCATCACGCTCAGCCCCACGAGGCCACCAGGCTGAACAGGGACAGGCCCTGGTACAGGTGAGGAGTCAACTGGGACCCTGCGGGAAGAGCTGGGTTCTCCCTTCCTACTGCAGAAAGGAGTCACCGAGCTCACAGAAGAGCCACTGTCCTGTCCCTTGGGAGCAGCAGGGGTAGGAATGAGACCGGAGGGTCTCTAAGGGAGGACACTCCCGGCCGCAGGAGGGGCACACAGCAAGCTGCCCGGCAGGGAGCTGGAGCACCTGCCTTGAGTCCTGAATGTCCAGTCCATCCTCCTGTCCCCGCCGCCCCCCCCAGGGCCTCCCTGGCTTAGAGGGGCACCTTCCTCTTCCAGCCCTGGTTTTCTCTCCTGAAAAGAGGGCCTCACCACTGACCTCTCGGGTGGAGGTCAAAGGCTGTGGCCGCCTGTCTCGCACCCAAAGCACATGCAGAGCTCTCGAGGGAGGGGACACCGAGGATGACACCAACGCGGACCAAGTGAGTGGCTGCTCATTATTCACCAAGCACTTGCTCATAAGTCGTTTTGTTTGGGCCTCAGCAAGAAGGACAGGGCAGGCCCTCCATCTCCACCTTGCCCTGGGAGTGCTGGGTTCAACGGGTGAGCCCCTGGTCCAGCAAATTCAGACCCCTCTTCTCACTCCCCCCACACAGCATGCTACAGTGGCCCTGAGATGGGCCTGACCCACGTGTCTCCCAGGGCATGGGTTGGGGTGAAGCTGGCAAGGGCAACTGGCCACGAGAAACACGCCTTGGGCACCTGGGGAGGGGGTGCGTCCAGCCAGGTGCCAGGGCTAGAAAGGACTTGGCACTCAGAGTCTAGCACCTCTGTAGGTCAAGAGCTGGCCCAGGGCCCCATGGCCACACCAGGGCCCAGGCTGGTGGCCAACACAGTCTAGGACACAGGTCCCTTCAGGCTGGTTCAATGCATTCTCCCCAATCCCTGCTTCTGTGAATTCCAGCTCAAACTGATTCAAAATGGTGCCAAAGCCTATGGCACTTGGGGGACAGGAAGGAGGACAGCTCGCTGGAGCTCTGAGGCTTAGTGGAGGTGAGTGAGAGGGTCCAAACAGTGACCAGCTTCCCCCAGCCCATTCTGAGGTCAGAAACCAGGACCTCGTTCCTACCTTAGCAAAGTAAGGGGACAGCGGAGACACCGTCCAGAGGGCACCTCGGCCTTTCTCTGCACAGGGGCCACGCACGTAGGCCCGTCAGCCGGCGGCGGCCCCCCGCGCACCCCAGGTGGGAAGGCCCCTCTGCGTTCTAGTAAAGGGGTCAGCTCTGTGGCCCATTGTGAGGGTGGGGTCACGGGCAGAGGCGGTACTCACCATGATGCCGGTGAGGAGGCAGACACCTTTCCCACAGTAAGTGTGGGGCACCATGTCCCCGTAGCCAATGGAAAGGAATGTGATGGAGATGAGCCACATGGCACCCAGAAAGTTACTAGTCACGTCCTGCTGGTCATGGTACCTGCCGAAGGGAAGACAGGGGTTAGTGGGGGGACCGCCACGGCCCGAGCAGAGACCGCGGGAGCCTAGACGGGGAGGAAATGAGGTATTTTGCTAAGGAGGACACAGCCGTGAGGGTGACACGGAGCTGCTGCGGTGACCCCCCAGGTTCTGCCTGCAGCTACCCCCTCCTCGAGTCCCCTCCCACCCCATCTGCACAAGCCAGGTCCCAGAGGCAAAGTGTTCTGTCATAGTGTGTCCCACGTCATCGGCATCTCTTTAGCGTTGGTAGGCTAGCCTCGGATGAAATCAGGCAGAAATGAAATCTCGATTCTCCCCTCCAGGCCGACAGTGAAATGTCTGTGGATGTGACTACCCTGAAATCATGAGCTCTTGGAAAGGCAAACTGTCAAAAAAGAAACCACGGAAAAATCGCCGTTAGTGATGTCCCCTAAGAAAGCTGACGGGTTCCAGGGCTGGCATCTCCGTGTGTCTGGAGGGGGGCCGTGGGACCCGGGCTCTCCTCCAGCTGCCTCTGGGAGGGGGCCGTGGGCCCACAGAGGCACAGGCTGCCTGGCTGAGCTAGTCAGGGTCTCGGGGCTGCCCCGGGAAGAACCAACGGGGCCACTGTTTCCTCCGCCTGGACACCCACGCTCCCCCTGGTTCTCCTCCACCCCGGGGGCGCTCAGCCCGGGAGAGGGTGTTGGCGTTTACAGAAGGGCACAGTAAGTGGGTGCAGGAGGCACCTTGGGGACAAAGGGGAGAAGTTAATGAACTTGACCCAAGCACACGAGGGTGAATCAGAGAAGGTGCCCGCCACGGTTTGTACGTGTCCTCCTTCAAAAATTAAGGTGTTGCCATCATCTCCAGGGAGACCAGGCCCACCTGCTGGACAGAGCAGAAAGCTATTTAGGAACCTTCATCTACAGAATGCAGTTACCCAGAGTCCAACAGGAATTCACGCCCATGAAGTACTTGGGACAAGTCTGATGGTGGCAGCAGTAGCTATTGTCCTCAGCGTTTGCTGAGCCCCACAGGGTCTGGCCCTGTGGTTACCAAGGGCTCCTCTCCTGACCGCTGTAGGTTCAAGTTTATGTGGAAATGGGCCTGGATGGAGGCAGGAGCGCTAAAGTCAGAAAGGAGGTGGAGGATGGCCTCCACGGGGGAACATCAAGAGCACAACACAATGGATACCATCTATTGAGCACCTACTGTTTGCTTGACACTTTGAACACAACCCCTCTGATCCTCACATCCTTTATTTTATAGGTGAGCAACTTGAAGCACAGACATGCTGAGAGCCTTGTCCAAGGGCACACAGGAAGTCACTGAGACAGAGCCCATGTCCTTTCACTCTGCCACTCAGCATCAGAGAGGCAAGGGTGGCGTGGGCATGTGTCCTGGGGACCGAGGAAGGAGTTTTAGTGAGAGGAAAACACCTGGGATCCAGGAACAGGCAGTAGAGGGCTTCAGAGACTGGTGCTCGGGCATTGGAAGGCCTGGAATTCTAGGACCAGAGTTTGCGTTTGGTCTTAGAGGCCTTGGAAGCGATTCTCGGTTCCTTGGCAGAGGAATGGCAAGACGACATGGCTTGCCGGGAAGGAGAGCCTGCAGGTGGCCAGCAGGACGTTTGGGGAGCTGGAACCAGGAGGAGCCAAATGCAAGAGGTGAGCAAAGCTCAGGAGGGAGACGGCAGACCCCCACCCCCTGGGCCCGGCCCTGCATCACCAATGAGCTGCAGCCCCAACTTGAGTCCTCAAACAGCAACGAGGGGGTGGCATTAGCCTCTTCGTCTCTGTCTGCACAAGGAGAGAGGTGCCTGCTACTGAGGAGAGCTGAGGACCAGCCGTCCCTTCCCCAAAGCACCGCTGGGCAGATGGCCTTACCGCCTCCTTCTCCTGGCCTCATTTGCTCCCCAGATTCGCTCCTGCTGCCTTAGGACCCCGACTGAATGCCTCCAGTGGGTCTCATTTCCCCAGGCTGGCCCACGCCTGCTCCTCTAGCTATGCTCGAGATGCACAGTCTCGGGGTGTCCAACCCTGACCCCCAGGATTGAGCCTGCCCCTGTGGGTCAGCCCCATCCCAGTTCTGACAGTCAGCTGCCTGCCCCGCCCTGATGGCCGACCCTGCCAGGCTCTTGGGCCATGCAGCCCCCTAATCCCGCATGCTGGGAGGAGGGGTGCTGGGAGGAGGGGTGGCAGGCCTGGCTTTCAGGCTGCGCTGGGAAATCAGGCTTTAGAATCTGTAAGGCAGTAAGACTCTCGGGTGGTGGTGGCGTGGGGTGGGGAGCCAGGACACAGGAGGGAGAAGACTTGGCGGCAGCCCATGCTACAAGCCAGCAGCCTATAAGAACCACAGCCAGGGCCTCTGTTCATCAGAAGAATATTTTCTGGAAGAACAAGCCTGGGGTCAGGTCTGAGGATGCGGAGGCCCAGGTGGGTTAGTAGGGAGGAGCGTCCACAGTCTTGGCCGTGGTTCGCGGGCATTGCAGTTGGAGCTCAGTGGCTGTGGGGCAGCGCCTTCATGGCCCTGTGACTCACTTTCCTGATTTGCTGATGGGGAGATGAAGTAAAATAACCCATGAGCAAGAGTGGCACGGAGCTTGGCCCAGAGGAGGGGCTCACGGTGCGTCGGCTCTGGGTGCTGCGGTTGGGAGGGGCAGATGTCAGTCTGAGAAACAATCCCCAGGAAAAGGCAGGGGTCTGGATTAACAAGTGCAGTGGGAGAGGACCCCCATCGGGGAATGGCAAAGCATCCATGGAGATGTCCTGAAGTGTAGACTGCAGAGGGATTTGATTCAGGGACAAAAGAAATGCCACAAGGTTATTGATGAAGAAGGGGCACGGGCCATTCGGTATCTGAGAACGATTCTTCTAGCGGTGTCAGACACTAAAGAGGTCAGATGGGGGGACTCCTAGAAGGTTTATAGGTGCCCACGGGGAAGCACTAGAGAACCTGACGCAGTCAGGAGAGCAGGGTGGATTCCTGGCCTGTCTCCTGTGCATTGACTGGCCGCGTGCGTGGATCTCCACAGCCCTTTCTTTGTAAATCTTGCAGCTTAAATTAGTGTTCCCTGTCTGGGTGCCTTTGGGATGATGATCATCCCAGTCACACAGGAGTGGAGTCTGAGGCAAAGAGATTAGATATCCAAGTGGGATTAAATATAAAGCAACAGATAATATCTCTCTCTTTAAAATGGACCTATGATTTGCTGCTTTTTTTTTTTTTTTGTAAATTTCCTTTAGGTTCTTAGGGGCTTCTTTTTTCTTCACCATATAAAATCCCCTTAGTGCTAACTGGGTGTGCTGGGGAGAGGAGAAACAGCTCTTGAGCCAGTCATCCATCCATTCACTGTCAGACTCCAGTGATCTCTCCTCTGGTGGGGGCTGAGCAGAGGTGAGGTGGAGTGGACATGCCCCCTGATGTCCCCTGGCTTGGAGCGTCATTGTGGAGATAAGACATGCATGCAACTCACCAAGCAGGAAGTGATGAGCGAGAAAGCCGGGCTGGTGATTCAGGACTGTGGGAGTAGAGAGGAGGGAGAAAATGTTTCTAAACCTATTCACAATTTTAGAGTGGTTTACACATGTCACAAACTCACGTACTAATCTCGTGCTATTTTTTGCAATAGAGAATTTTTTTGGGGGGAGGAGGGGGAATAGTTCCACTTCTTTAAAGGGCTGAGGAGGAAAAGATGTAGTTTTTCTTTGAGCTCAAGAGTAATTGCTGTAGTTATTCATTTATCTTTCAGGGCATGGGCCAGTTTTTTTCCCACTTTCTAACATTACAAAATAAAACAGACACAAGAGACTGAATGGTTGAGCAAAAATGGTGGATTAAACAAATACGTATACTTCTGCTACCTCAAATCCCTTGTAGATTTGAGGGATCAGTGGGACTGGGAGTCCTCTACTTGAAAAAATAAGCAAGCAACCAAGAATTCCCAGACATCCGAGGAAGTCTCTAACATTAAAGACACAGACCAAAGCAGTCAATTAACACAAACAAAGAGAAAGGACTCTAGATAGGATGCAGATCATTCACAGAAAGGAACTCTTAAGGGGAAAAAAATTCTATAATTAACACAAGAGAGATAAAATAAGACACTGGACCCATGAGACAAGAATGGAATGCTCTACAAAGAACAGTCTCCTTAGCAGGACGGGAAGATAAATCAAACGAGTCTCCCCAAAGGCAGGAAAAGGTGAAGGGAGAAAGAAAATGAGAACCAGGTATGAGAAAATCACAGACTCAGTCTACCCACTCAAGTAATAGTAGTTCCAGAAAGAAGGATTTAAAGGAAAAGGAAGGAGGTGGGGGAGAAAGAGAAGGAGAGAAATAATAATTAAAGAAATCGTTTCCCCAAATTCTCCAGAATCGAAGAGCACTGAGTTGCTAAATCAAAGGCCAAAAGATCCTATCAGACTTCAGGGGGGGGGGGGGGAGGGGGAGGGGGGGGGGGGGAGGGGAAGGGGGAGGGGGAGGGGGAGGGGAGAGAGGTCAGATACAAGGAATCAGAAATTAGAATGACTCTGGACTTCTTCACTACAACACTGGAAGTTGGAGGGCCATGGAATAAAGCCTTCAAAATTCAGAAAATTATTTCCAAATCAGAATTCCAAACCAGGAAGACCAGAATTCTGAGCCATCTAAAGCATTAGTTAAGTGGGAGGGTAGAATGAGAACATTTTCTGGTGTAGAATGTTCTGGAAGGTTTGCCTCCCCAACATCCTTCCTCAGGAAGCCCCAGCAGTGTACGGCTCCACTCCTGTGTGAATAGTCCAAGGAGTAAGGCAAGGGGGAAGAGGACACGGGCGGGCGGGAGGACGTCCAGAGGCAGAGGGGGCTCAGGGTGCTGGGGTGGGAGGTCCCCGGGGGACAGCCAGGCTCCAGGTGTGAAGGGCAGCCAGAGACGGAGCCGCGGGAAGGCTCTGGTTCCAAGGAGACCAAATGAACAGCCCCATCTCCCCGAACTTCCTGAGAAGAGATTTAAATAACTGCCAGAGCAGAGTGGATTCAAAT